TATATATATATATAGAAACCATTCCATAATTGTATTTCTCTTTATATATATATATATATATATATAAAGATGAGGGTCTGATGTATCGAGAGAATGCTCTGAATATACTTTTATTTATATTATCTGATATGTAATCAACCCTTCTCATCCCATCCACCCTTCCAACTATACTTCTAAGAAATTGCTGCGAAAAGCCATCTTGAATCTCAATTTGCCAAAATTCATGCAGAAACAGCTACCGTTCTGTTTGCGAAAAGCATTTAATTTTTCATAAAGCGATATTATATTGATATTATTGATATTATTTTTATATTCAATATCTATTTATCTAAGCTATGTACCTTACATATTTACGAGCTGTGCAAACCTTTCCCTACACCAAACCAATCGGTGCCAAACTTGCAGAAAAGAAATCTTTTTTCACTAGCCATTAAATCCTGTGAATTTCCTACTAGTCTAATGAAGTATCTAAATCACCCACTTTACTTTAAGTGGGAAAAGCGAAAAGCCAGAGTATAGTAAAGAGTTCTGTCTTTGTGTTCTTAGTCGAGAACGGTTCCATCCCCGTTCCGTTCCATTCTTTGTCGAGAACTGTTCCATCTATTATATTGTCATATTTATTGTACTTGGATTTTTTTTCCTTTTAAATTGTTTTTAGGAAAAATACACTTGAGGGTAAGAAAAAACAAGGGCGTATGAGAGGGGGTACCTGGGTGCACGTCCCCCCAGGAGGAGAGGGGGGGGGCTCATTTAATATTACATCTGGAGATTTGTTGTGAAAAAAACCTCGTATTCTTGATTTTAGAGGCAGTATTTTTAAATTGGTATTAATTGCCCACTCTGTACGGTTAACACAGGGTTTCCAGTGCAAGTGGATTTTACTCCGATTGGAAAACCTAGTTAACACTGAACATTAAAGGTGAAACTTTTTTATGGAATTATTTTCAAGAACCAAAATTATATTCTTCTAAAAATTCTGAGACATGTTTAAAAAAATTTTTTTCTCACAAAAATGGGATTTTATGAAAAAAATATGTTTAACTTATTTGCGATGGTCATTTTTTTATTTCTGTGAAAAATACCATTTGTAAACATGTTTTGAAATTCCTAGAACAATACATTTTGATTCTTAAAACATGACACCAGAAACATGTTTAACCCATTCTTGAAAAACTTATCATTACTGTAATGACTTAATGACTTATTTTCCTATCTAAATCTATAATTTATAACGATATCAGACCTTTCAGTCCTCGACCAAATTGTGAAAAATCTTTATAGATTTAAAAGTCGAAACACACTTTTATTATTATTATTCAGGAGGAGAGGGGGGGGGCTCATTTAATATTACATCTGGAGATTTGTTGTGAAAAAAACCTCGTATTCTTGATTTTAGAGGCAGTATTTTTAAAACTTTTCATTATCTTTTTTAAAGATAATTTTTAAAATTTCTTTTTTCTTTTTAAAGTTCATAAGCCTACAAAGCAGATTAATCAAATAGAATCAATTGAGGGGATTAAGGTGGCGGCAGACATAATTTCAATTCTGATTCACAACAATACCCAAAAGTGCATTTCTTGCTTCAGAAACGATGGAGAAATAAAGGTTGCAAAGGTACATGCCACCCTATAAAGGGAGGGTCACTTAAAATAACGCATGTAGTATAATTACATAAAACAAATACTTAAAAATCTCACTTTTGCCCTTAACTAAAAATGTTTCATTAAAAAATCTTTAATCGATACTGCCTTTAGTGTAAATAATCATTTGATATCATTATTTATGTACTAAATCCTATGAAAATATGGATATTTTAAGAAACTTTTCCATCTCTATTTTTCACCACTTGAAGCTTACACCACAGTATTAATTAAGATGGAGTGTCTGATGAGTACACAATAACATACATAACTTACTAACACTTCTTTTAATGTGGAAGTGTGCATATGATCAAATAGTCTACCTTAACATAGTTTCCTGATTTAAAATGAGTTCCCCACATAAAACGCATTCCTGATTTAACGTTCTATGTGTCGTTCTTTTTTTCGGAACAATGGGATCGTTCTTGATAATTCCGTTCGTTCGTTCTCGTGAAAGAACGATCGTTCCCCAGAAAAACGCCCCGGCCTATCTATTACATACTCTACACTTCTCCTCCCATCCACCCCATTCACATCCCTTCTTCCTTCCTTACTCCTCTGCCTTCCCTACTCTTCTACCTTTCCTACTCCTCTACCTTCCTTACTCCTCTGCCTGTCCTACTCTTCTACCTTCGCTACCCTTCTACCTTCTGCCTGTCCTACTCTTCTACCTTCGCTACCCTTCTACCTTCGCTACTCTTCTACCTTCCCTACTCTTCTACTTTCCCTACTCTTCTACCTTCCCTACTCTTCTACCTTCCCTACTCTTCTACCTTCCTTACTCCTCTACCTTCCCTACTCTTCTACCTTCACTACTCTTCAACCTTCCCTACTCCTCTACCTTCACTACTCTTCAACCTTCCCTACTCTTCAACCTTTTCTACTCTTCTAACTTTACTTCTCTTCAACCTTCCCTACTCTTCAACCTTTTCTACTCTTTTACCTTCATTACTCCTCTGCCTTCCCTCCTCTTCTACCTTCCTTACTCCTCTACCTTCCCTACTCTTCTTCCTTCACTACTCTTCAACCTTCCCTACTCGTCTACCTTCACTACTCTTCAACCTTCCCCACTCTTCACCTTTTCTATTCTTCTACCTTCACTACTCTTCAACCTTCCCTACTCTTCAACCTTTTCTACTCTTCTACCTTCATTACTCTACTACCTTCCCTACTCTTCTACCTTCCCTACTCTTCTACCTTCCCTACTCTTCTACCTTCACTACTTTTCTACCTTCCCTACTCTTCTACCTTCCCTGATCTTCTACCTTCTCTACTCCTATACTTTCCAAACCCTTCTACCTTCCCTACTCTTCTACCTTCCTTACTCTTCTACCTTCCCTACTCTTCAACCTTCCCTTCTCTTCTACCTTCCCTTCCCTTCTACCTTCCCTGCTCATCTACTTTCTCTACTCCTATACTTTCCATACCCTTCTACCTTCCATACCCTTCTCTACCTACAACATCCTTCAACTCTTCTCCCTGCATCAGTCGATCTTCCAACTATCCTACTCTTTTTCCTTCTACCTAACTTATCTTTCTACCTTCCCTACTCCTCTACCTTCCCTACTCTTCTACCTTCCATACCCTTCTAACTACCCCACCCATCTATCCTTCTCCCTGCTTCAGCCTATCTTCCAATTGCCTTACCCTTTTTCCTTCTACCTTCCCTACTTTTCTACCAACCCCACCCATCTACCCTTCTCCCTTCTTCAGCCAATCCTTCAATTCTTTTACCCTTCTTCCTTCTACGTAACCTACCTTTCTACCAACCCCACCATTTTACCCTTCTCCCTGCTTTAGCCAATCTACCAAATACACAACTCTTCTCCCCCATGCATTAAACCGCCCTTACTTCTACCCTACTCTTCCCCCTCCCATCATATTCCTTTCTTCCTTCCTTCCTTCCTTCCTCTAAACCCCTCTTTTTACATCCACTCCTTTGTTTAGTGTAATTTTTACTTTGATTTAATTAAAGAAGATGAAAATTTTTAACTTATCTTTTCTTGAGTCCCTGCTGATTATTTACTGATATACTTACACTATTAGTGATGCAATAGTCAGCAATATTAGAAGCCAAGAAGGAAACTAGAAGTCAATAAATGCTTCATCAATCTTGAGGTTCACACCGTAGGGTAATCAGGGCAGATATCAATTACATATGCTAGTATTCAATACTAAGAAGACTGTTTAGGTGAAAGCGCATATTGTAGAATAAAAGACTAGATGTCTCGATGGATCAATAATCCGTCTCTGATGAGATATAAAGAGTGTCTCAGATCTCTATAGAGTTGGTTATCTCCGATCTTGGATAGGTGGAAAATACTTGGAGAACCCTGTATTTTTTATGCAAATTCTTAACTACATGACTTTTTACATGTTTTGAATTGATAAACCCTTGTAAAATATTCTGATCTCCCTAAAATACAATAGTAAAACAATCCATGTAGGATTGCTGAGTAAATTATTCAGCATTGTGTTGTGACCATGTTCACTAAAGTAATCTTCTGATTAAATTGAGAATGTATGCCTTATAGAGGCAGTGGTTGAACTAGCTACGGCAAGCTAGCTCAATTCACTTCGATCTAAGTAACTAAGAGTTGGCTTTGTGAGTTTTGAAATCTGACTGAAAAGAATTAAAACCTAATATCTGTTTGTGTATAATGTTGTGAATGTAATAAATGAAGCATATATATTCCTATCCACATTAGAAGATAAGGCAGAGCACTCAGACCAGCATTACTCTAAAATCATAAAAAAAAACACATTAAACACAAATATTTTTATTGGAGTAAAATCTTGATTAAGTGGGATTTTGAAATCTTTTAATGACATATGTGGGAGTAGGGGGGGGGGGGGGTATTAATTGCCCACTCTGTACGGTTAACACAGGGTTTCCAGTGCAAGTGGATTTTACTCCGATTGGAAAACCTAGTTAACACTGAACATTAAAGGTGAAACTTTTTTATGGAATTATTTTCAAGAACCAAAATTATATTCTTCTAAAAATTCTGAGACATGTTTAAAAAAATTTTTTTCTCACAAAAATGGGATTTTATGAAAAAAATATGTTTAACTTATTTGCGATGGTCATTTTTTTATTTCTGTGAAAAATACCATTTGTAAACATGTTTTGAAATTCCTAGAACAATACATTTTGATTCTTAAAACATGACACCAGAAACATGTTTAACCCATTCTTGAAAAACTTATCATTACTGTAATGACTTAATGACTTATTTTCCTATCTAAATCTATAATTTATAACGATATCAGACCTTTCAGTCCTCGACCAAATTGTGAAAAATCTTTATAGATTTAAAAGTCGAAACACACTTTTATTATTATTATTCAGGAGGAGAGGGGGGGGGCTCATTTAATATTACATCTGGAGATTTGTTGTGAAAAAAACCTCGTATTCTTGATTTTAGAGGCAGTATTTTTAAATAAGACGGGAGCTCGGTCAACAGAACATAATATCCAAAATTCTGAAAAAATATATTGCACTTTCTATAATTTTCTTGACTTACTTCCTTTGTTGCTGCATTTCTGCATAAAACCTTTGAATTATAAGAAGAAATGTTGAATAAAAAAGTTTTAAAATAGAATTTTATTCCTTGCAACGAATATTGTATTTTTTAACCTGCGTAATATGTGCAGCTGCTATTCCCCAAACTGGTCCAGAGCAAACAATTCTAATTAAAATTGTTTACAGTGAGAACCAGAAAACTATGGAACGAATGTCACCTTTGTTTTCCAGCTTAGAAATGCATGCTCCATTTCTTGACTACACATTACACAGCCTCCTTGGTCGGAAGGAAATTGAATCAGACAAAGTTTTGTTAAGTCAACAAAATGTCAAATACTGTGTAGAGTGTACAGTGTACACCAATGTCGGATAGGGATATATGATCCAGAAATAGGTCTACAGAGACAACTACTTTTATAATGAAGAGAATTTATTCAATCTATTTTCTTAGATTTCTGGTTTGAGCAAGTATTTAGACGTAGCATGTATAATGGTTCTTTTTGTTTGAAAAATTAGTTTCTTAATTTGTAAAAGAAAATTTTCAAATTTTTGACTAAAAAATAATCTAATAATTTTACTGGGTATCGCTGTGAGGCCCGTTTTAAAATATTCAACGTTTTCAGATTTTTAACAGCCTCCACAGTAATCTGAGTTGTACATTCTATTTCAAAACTGCTAGAACTGGCAAGCTTGCTTTTATAACATTATGTACAATTTTTATTCTGACCTAAGATATTAAACATTACTATTTTTCAAAATTATTAGAAAATAGTTGTTCATTTTTTGTTTTGAAAAATTGTTTATTAACACTTTTAACGTAAAAAACATAAATGTCTCGAAACTGATTCAAATCACAGGTTTCAGGATGTCATTAAAGTGAATAAATGCATACATATTAATTTGAAAAATATATTGATTCCAGAAGCTTCTACTTACCCTTTCCATGGAATAGATTTAGGTTTAGACATCTCACTCTCTACTAGAGAAGACTAAAAAGTGACAATAAAAACACGAAAAATTTGATTTTAAAAATTCTGACCATAATATATATTTTCTCTTGCTCTGATATCCTGGGATGAACCTCTGGAGAATCATATGCTAGAAATATCCAGCCTACAAACCAAACCTTAATATGCAGGGTTAGTTTTATTACAAGATCATACAAGCAAAATTTCAAGAAAACTTTTTATTTCATTTATTTCATATTTAAATAAAAATTGATTAAATTGGTTAAATTGGTTCTTAAAGACGATTTTGTCTTCTGAACTGAATTTGTTAAAAACGAGAAAAGGATGATGATAAATCTTAACAACATTAGTTTATGAGTAAACATACAAAATAAAAGGTGTTCAAAATGTAAAGTGAGGGTCATACATATGAATATAAAGATTGAAAAAAATATTATCATTATCATTATCTGTTTATCATTATTCGTAACCATTGATAACCATAAGAAAATGGAATAGAAATAGGAAGTGTATTTGATATTGTTGAAAGCATTAGTTTTACTACATAGAAAATCATTAATTTACTAATTTAGTGAAATGGGTCTGTTTACACTACACAATTGCTGTATCTCATGCTCAAGGGACATTTTGAATTTAAAACTTGATTTCAAAAGTCATGTTCCTATTTCAGAGTTTTCAGATGATTACTGTAGTAAATTTATGTTAATAATTTTAATAATATAGTTCATCTCACCACGCCGAGTACTCCAAATACATAGAACACAGATTCCCAGCCAACATAATCACATAACAAACCTAAACAACAAAATCACACAACAAACCTAAACAACATAATCACATAACAAACCTAAACAACTAAATCACACAACAAACCTAAACAACATAATCACCGCAACAAACCTAAACAATAATAACATAATCACACAACAAACCTAAACAACAATAACATAATCACACAACAAACCTAAACAACAATAACATAATCACACAACACACCTGGACAACAATAACATAATCACACAACAAACCTAAACAACAACAACAATATCACACAATACACCTGGAAAACAATAACATAATCACACAACAAACATAAACAATAACAACATAATCACATGACAAACCTAAACAGCAATAACATAATGACACAACAAACCTAAACAACACAAAATAATCACACAAAATCCTGAACAACAACAACAACAACCACTAATATAATCACAGAACAAACCTAAACAACAGCATTTTTTAAAATGTATCTAAAGAGTATTTTATAAAATATTATTTCTGATTATTTAGAAGAAAAAACTCCGCCATCCTTTACCTGATATTGGCAATGAAACAACAGTACCAAAAGAAGAGCCTGCGTACGCATAAGAAACAAACCTGAAAAGTTAAATCAAATAGTAATATAAGTTATAACTGCAATTTAATTGTTATTTTTAACACGATGAAATTATATTAATTTGGGAAAAATTAATGCCCATAATATATTCGTTTATCATAAAAAGCGTGTGAAAAATTAACCTGCTCCGTTCAGCCGGTGTCGCCCATTTAGCAAGCATAGCGAGCATGGCGGGGAATGTGACCCCCTCCCCTAGCCCTTCAACTACACGGACTGCATAGAATAGGTAGATGCTAGTCTTAGCGGCCTAAATCAAGGGTTATATTATTTTATTTTATATGAGACCGGATAATTAGAAAATATTGCAATCTTTATGGTCTTCATAGTATGATAAGATTTCAAAAATATCGAATAATAAAATGTATTTTAATGGGCCATCAACTTTTCAAATGTAAATAAAAAATAAATTTAACAGTTGGTTATCTACAGGTAAGTTCACCAGTGGAGTAAGCAGCGTAAAAACAGCTGTGATGAAAACCCCTCCTCCAAACAACCATTTCCCGCCAAAAAGTTCGGCAAGGCGGCCACCTGTTAAAAGAAATGTCTTAACAAAAAAAAGAAGAATGGGGAATTCCACAAATGATTTAAATTTTGTAAGTTTACGAGATAAATAATAAAGATAATAGTTGAAAATCAGACCTAGACTTAAATTTTTCAACATTTATTAACGTTTCTTAAATCTATCTCGTTAAAGTTCCAGACTTTAAAAAAATCAAGCTATAGATAAAATAATGTTGATACCTGGAACTTGAGTTAGAACATATCCATAGAAAAATGCTCCCAGTATACGCCCCTGTATTCAATAATGAAAAATTAATATTTTATCAACTGGATGTTGAAAAACCTTTGATTTTTAAAACCTTGACTGTTTATTCCAGCAGGGGTAAAGGGACCGTAAGCGTCTTTTTAAGTGACCCTACATGCAAAGAGGCCAGTGCCCGATTTATCACGGTACGCCTTTCACCTTTTAGTTTATTCAGTAGAGAGAGATCTGTGTTTTTAATAGCTGTTAAATCGTTCTAAACCCCATTAAACGCTGTGTACAGTTTTAACTCAACATAGTTTTAAGTTCTGTCAATTCTAGAAAATAACTGTTGATACTTTTAAATAAATAACAGCTTGTGAAGAAAATGTTTCAATAGACTAATAAGAATATGTCTGATATCATTGGTCAGTCAAAGATTTAAAGGGTAATCAAAGGGTAATCAAGGTTAAATGTATGCTTACTGTCCCTTTAATAGTTTAGAATGTATCATAGCTCTACGAGTTACGACATTTGGGTTCACAAATTAAATTAATTTGAGAGTCTATGGCGAGTAATCAGTTCCATTACCTGAGTTTTTTCGTCCCATGCGAACGGTCCCTCTTTTGCAGTACTTTTCATTTTTAGTATTATCAACAATTTGATTAACAATAAAAAAACATATTAAATAATATATAGTTTTGGTTTGTGTTTCTGAACTCAGGTTTATAGCTTTTGTGTAAAGTGTAATGGTGGATTCAAAACTAAGTGAAATAAAGAAAAAGTAGAGTTTACTTCAGAACTTCATATTTGGGAAATATTGAAATATGTTTTCGGAGAAAATATTTGGGAAATATGGAAATATGTTTTCGGAGAAAATATTTGGGAAATATGGAAATATGTTTTCGGAGAAAATATTTGGGAAATATTGAAATATGTTTTCGGAGAAAATATTTGGGAAATATTGAAATATGTTTTCGGAGAATATATTTGGGAAATATTGAAATATTTTTTCGGAGAAAATATTTCTCAGTAGAAGTAAAATAGAAGAAATGAGAATTAGTGAAACTGAAAGATTTGAAGGAAGGGGTAAAAATATGGATTGTTGTAGGAAAATATTGTAAAAAGTAAAGATTGTAAAAAGTAAAGATTGCAAAAAGAAATAATTGTAAAAGTAAATGTAGGGATAAGTAAATATTGTAAAAAGTAAATATTACAAAAAGTAAATATTCAAAAAAGTATTTTTAAAAGTGTACAGCTTGGTTGTAGTATATATCAATACAATGAAAACAACTTTCTATTTAAATATTTTATTTCTACCAATCTTTCAAACAGCAGAGACACATACAGATGTAAACAAAGAGAAGTTGCCAATTGACAGTTACTCTTTGTTTACTTGTAAACTTGTAATTTAAAAAAAGGTTTGTTAAAATTATCTTATCATTATAAATAAAAACTCGTCTTCATTGGTAAAAATTATAAATTGTAAAAAATATGAAAAAGAAAACATTGCAATAAGTAAAAATGTAAACAATAAAGTTTGGAACAGTTTTTAAAAAGTAAGATTGCAAAAAGTCAAGATTGCAAAACGTCAAGATTGCAAAAAGTCAAGATTGTAAAAAGTCAAGACTGTAAAAAGTCAAGATTGTAAAAAGTCAAGATTGTAAAAAGTCAAGATTGTAAAAAGTCAAGATTGTAAAAAGTCAAGATTGTGAAAAGTCAAGATTGTAAAAGTATGGAGTTTTATCAGTAAAAATTCAGAAAAGAAAAGACAAGAGTATCAGAGAAGAGTAATTGTATACTGCACTTCCTACATTAAGAGGCAATAAAAACCTGTTTGATAAATTAAATAGTTTAAATCATAGGAATTGAACACTAGCCTCAAACGTACATTAATAATCTTACTCCTTGATATTTTAGATTTGCAATAGAGGCGAATGTTTTTTTCCTTTCTTTATAATATTTTTCTCTTTAAATTGAATTCTATACGTTTTTTTGGGAAAAACTGAACTAATGAAGGATCAGCATGATACTCATGTTGAAAAGAATGAAATAAGATCCATTAAAACTAGTTTTTGTTGGTCATATCCCTGGTGGCTGAAGAGTTCGTTTCTGCAGATCAATAAATACATATTTTTCAAAATTTGATATGGATTTGCTTTCAAGCAAGTTTTATTGTTTTCATGTTTATTTGTTTATATGTTTGAAAGCTTGGTAGAAATAAAATATTTGAATCAAATCGTCTTCATTGTATTTGTATTTCTTTGCTCTTCATGAAATGATATTTTTAATATAAACTTTTGTAATTCAACTTTTTAATGCATTCAAACTTAATTCAATTTATGATAAAAAGGTTTTTTGAATAAAAGTCTAAAATATTTAAAACTATTAAATGTTTTTACTTCTTTCATTTTGTTTGTTTAAGATTTTAAATTTAACCACAATTCGATTTAAAAAGCCGTTGACAAAAATAAACAAGGCCAGAACTTTTAATCGACGTTCACGGATTCGACTAATGATAGTTGCGGATACATCCTCTACAACCTTTTAAAAGTCAAAATTAAAATAAATTGGCATATTCAAATATGGAGCTTGGCTTTTGTATTCAAACGTTTTGCAGCTTAGCTCCCTCTAACCAAAAGTTTTCGGCTCTTATTTATATTTTCTCTCAACTTTCTCAAAACAATGAAACAAGGTAAAATTTGAAGAAATAACTTTGTTTGCTTGTTCTGAGCAAAATCAAGGTTTGAAGGGCAAAACAAAAAAATCCCGAATTAAATTTTCTTTCTTTAATTTTTGGGCAATTAAGTCTTTTTTAGGCAATAATGGAATAAATGGTTTATTGTTTTTGAAACCGTGGAGATGAGGTTTAAAAACATTTAATAAGTGTTCTCTCTCTATATGAGAATATATTTACTATCTAGCCTGGGAGGTTTTGACCAGGCGAACATTCATTACTACAGGGAACAAAAGATTTCTAATCTTGTTTTTGGCTCAGGAAGCAGTATACATGATACATGTACAGGATACAGGATACAGGATACAGGATACAGGATGCAGGATGCAGGATACAGGATACAGGATACAGGATACAGGATACAGGATACAGGATACAGGATACAGGATGCAGGATACAGGATACAGGATACAGGATACGGAATACAGGATCAACGTTACAGGATATAGGAATGTATGATCAACGATACAAGATACAGGATACAGAATTAAAACATACCCAAGACATTTTTATTTAATTATATCTGTGTCCAAAAATGTATTCTGTATCACAGTGTGAACATGTATATCCTGAATGAGAGTGTAAATGGAATTTAATCTAAAGAAATGTGCACCCCGAAATATCATATCTTTATTTCGCTCCATTTAACAGAAAATAAAAACAAGAAAATAGCTTTTCTATTCCTTCTCAAAAATAATTATAATTCAGATTTAACTTTAATTGTTCCCTGCCTTGAATGGTCTTGTTGATGATGTATAGCTGTATTATTTACCATCGCCACAATTGCCACTGATAGGTTAACACGCATACAGTATACGTTGGCAAACCCTAGCAAGCCTGGAGAGTAATATAAAAGTAATTTATTTAATAGAGAATATTAACAATTGTAAGAAAAAAAATTCACTCTTATAGGGATCGACAGTACTTTCAATTTCAAGAGGCCATTTATTTACCAAGGATTTTCCTCGATTCCCAACAGCATCCTTTAAACCGTTGCGTTGACTGATCAAGGGTAAAAGCTATTTCAAATACAAAGCACGAGATAATACAAACAAAAAATCACAATTTACTATGTATTTTTGACCCGCCTAACCAGAGTAGGTTGTTTTGATTGGTTGACCCATTATAAATACATGGTTGTACACTGTACAGTGTACATTTTAAACATAATAATGATGATAAATCAGGAAAAAGGTAAGGAGGTGGTGAGTAAGTATAAGGGAAAGGGAGGATACTCAGCGGGTGAGAGCTATTTCCTTTTTTATCTGCAAACACGCTTTGCAATTGTTGAACACTATGTTAACAAGTTTTTGCCCCATTTTCTGATTTTCTGATCTCTTTATCTTTGCAACCAAAGGAGTAGAATTTTTGCCACAAACTCTAATTTTTTAATTCCTACATCTTTGCAAGCTGATTGTGTAAGCCTATAATATTTCAAATTTAGATTCTTTAATCTAAAACACTTCATAGTTTGACATATCTAAGGTCTACGGCATTGGGTTGCAAAGATATAGGGATTAGAAAATCAGAGTTTGTGGCAACAACTCAATTCCTTTCGGTGAAATTATGATTTTTCAAACTATGGAATCTATTATATCAAATAATCTTAGTTAAAATATCAAAGGTTCACATCATTGCAAAGCTGTTGCAAAGATATAGATATTAGAAAATTAGAACCTCCTGTGGCAAAAAACTCATTTCCTTCCAAGAGCAAAGTAAAACAATATGATCCACTGCACGCATTGAAATCCTGCTATTTTTGATTTATACCATATATCATTATACAACCAAATTACTGGCGTTGCCCCCGAATAAATGTAAACAAATGTTAAAGAATATTCACCCATTAGCACCAGTACATGCCGTGTACCGTACTTCGGCATCTCAGACTCCGGTTTAACCTGATCAGGAAATAATATGAATTCTTGTTTGCCAATCTGAGGGCAAAACTTTCCATAAAAAATAGAAGCAAAATTTAACAAATTACTTATTTAAAGGGAGTGACCGGCTATGTAAGGTAGTTGAACTGAGTATGCAGTTTTGAGGAAAACCTCTTTCGGATTCATTTGAAACATATTAAACATTTTAAAGTTATGTAAATCCTCAGTTTGAGCGCAAATTCGACGTTCAAAACTCCTACTTTGGGGGTGGATACGTTTTCAGAATTATAGTTTTTTTAAATTAATAAATAACGACGACATAAAATGTAAAAAAGTTCTACAATAAACTACACACGTCATGTATAGGAACATTTTGAGAAAATAAAAATTAATCTTATCATCGAAAATAAGTAATCTTGTTCAATTATTAGCTTAACTATTTTCTCATTATTCTGGTTTCTCATTATTCACAAAGATTTTCTGCAGATTTTCTAGAATTATTATTTAAAAGATGACATTTGAAGAATTCGAAGAAATCTGCGAATATATTGAAGAAAATAAAAAGTTCAATGTAATAATGAAAACGAAATAATCTATTTTAGCATTGATTTATTGACAAATTTCTTTTGAGAAATATGATCGATCCTAACCATCTAATTATATTACTGTGTAATTTTTACTTTATTTTTCGTTGTCGTTATTTAATAATTTAAAAAGAACTAATTCTGAAAACGTATCCACCCCCAAAGTAGGATTTTTGAACGTCGACTTTGCGCTCGATCAAACTCAGGATTACAGATCTTTAAAAAGTTTAATGTGTCAAATGAATCCGAAAGAAGTTTTCCACAACACTGCATACTCAGTTCAACTACCTTACATAGCCGGTCACTCCCTAAACGCAAAGAGGACGGTTCAACCTGATCCGATCAATACCTCATTTGTGCGAGAAATGAACTATCCTATTTTCTCTCTGAAAATAAATTGAGTCTTAGCCACAAACTCTGATTGCCAACTATAAATTCTATCAAACTAGATGGTCTACAAAGATGGATTAGAAAATTTGAGTTTGTGGCAAAGTCTCAACACCTTTAAAAATGTCTACGGTGGATTTCGAGATCAAGCATTCTATATTTGTGATATCAGATATCAGATTTGTCCTCAGATACTATCGAAAAGGTGAGAAATGGAAGTCATGTCACAGTAACAACAAATTTATTCGTTCATTTCTATTTTTATCTTATAAGATATATCAAAAAGTGTCAATAATTGTATTTCTCTTGTTGTTAAATAAATAAATAAAAATAAATTCTACCATTTTGTTTTGTGAATGTTGATGAACTATCAACATAAAGTCACATTTTTAACCTTATCTATGCAAACTGATGTGGTTAAAGCTTTATTCAATATATCAATATAAATATATCTATACATTTACAATGATAGTATATTTACATATTTATATATAATCAGATTTACCGGAGCTGAGATTAGAAAAAATCGTACTTTTATATTCCTATGTATGGTTTAGGACATGAAGACATGAGTATGACGGAACAAGATAAATCATAAAGAAGTTTGTTTGATTTCCACAACACAAAAACAACTGTTTGGACCAAAGTGTCAAGTGCACATCAAAGGAAATGCAAGGGAGAGGGGGGGGGGGCTAGGCCCGGGGGAGGAGTTCTTCCTTTGATTATAGTTTGCCAATAGTATACAGTGCAAGGTGTACACTGAATACAAAAGATTGTACTGCAATCCATCAATTACAGAGAAAACATGATCTTTTACTTTCCATTCATCCATCTTGGTTTATACTCAATAATCTTATATTCCATATTCATTATATTTCAGGATTTTAAAGAACGAAGACGATTTCTAACAAAGAGAATAGAATATATGTTAGAGTGGAATTTAGCCAATCCCTCGGTATGAATTTTGTCAGTCCCTTTCAGCCTGAAAGGGAGTTCAAAGTGTACAAATCATGTAAATGTTCACAAATTATATGCAATAGAGTACATTAATGCAGTATGTTCCCTTGACTATCCATTTCAATTTCAAGTTTTTTAAAGCTGTTAAATAAACTTTATAAAATGAATTAGGTGAATAAAAAACATCATTTGATTTAAAGTTATAACGGAAAATCATCGTTTGTAAAGTGAAAGGAAATGATCATTGCTCAATTATGAAATCAGCCTATTTCATAATTTGGTTTTCTTTTAATATTAATTTTAGATTTTCTATAAAATGATGTTCCAGGGCCCAAAAGGTTATATAGCGTAAATATGTGAAGTACACCTGCAGTATGGAAACAGCACAACAAAATTCATACAAAGGGATTGTCTAAATTCCATTCTAATATATATTCTATTCTCTTTGGTTTAAGGATAGTGTGACGGACCCATTATTGACAAGGTTTTGAGCTTGTGAGCCAAAAATACAGAGAAAATCACCTATTCTAGACAATACAGTCATTTAGTTAGCTTCGGAGAGTAAAAACGGACAAACAACATTATCATCATCAACCCACCATATTGTTCAAGAAACCCAGGGGATTCATCAAGATACAATGAAAACGCAATTAAAAGAACGTTTTAAATATTTCAAAAACTTGCATAAATTAGTTTAAAATTATGGCATTTTTCTGAGAATTTTAGCAATGTTTAAAGTTAATTTGTAATTTTATAAATTTATCCCATTTCTGTAGATGCACTTAAAACAAAACGTGTATAATTTTCGTTTAAATTTGTTTGTGTTCTGTACTTTAGTTTTTGTTGTGTACTACATTTTTGTGTAAAGTACTCCATAATCATGTTGTGTTCTTTATTTTTGTGTTGTTAACTTTTTTTGTTGTATACTTTATGTTTGTGGTGTATTCTACATGCTTGTGCTGTGTAATTTATTTGCGTTGTTTTGTACTTTATTATTGTCTTGTGTACTACATTTTTGTCTTGTGTACTTTACTTTTAAGTTGTGTTGTACTTTATTTTTGTGTTGTGTACTGTATACTTGTGTTGTGTACTTCTTGTTATTTCTTATGTTGTGTACTTTCTTTTTGTGTTGTGTACTGCATGTTTGTGTGGTAAAGTTCATCTTTCTGTTCGGTACTTGAGATATATGTTGTGTACTGAATACTAATTGCTTGTGTTTTGTATGTATGTTTGTGTTGTGTACTGTTTGTGTGTGTGGTTAACAGTTTGCTTGTTTTCGTACTGCATATTTGTGTTGTGTACCGCAAGTTTGTTTTGTTTACAGCAGGTTTGTGTTGCGTACTGTATGTTTTGTTGTTTACTGCATGCTAGTGTTGTGAACTACAAATTAGTGTGTGTTGAGACTCATTTAAAGAATAGTGAATCAGGAAACTATTTGAAATGTCAGCAGTGCCCTTGTTTCTTTTCCTTGCCGTCAGCAAACCTTCTCTAATTCTGTATCTTTAGTGTATACAGGCACATGATGCATCCACATCGATCCAGGTCTTAGAATTATACATCAAAACGTCATTGGATCTTGGTTTGACTTCAATCTTTTATTTCATAATGCAACTTATGTTTATTGTTAATATAAAAACTGAGAAACTGTTTTCCGACCAAAAAAATGTCAAGGATCGTTAAGTGTTTTCCACAAACTCTGATTTTCTAACTTTTAGATATTTCAAACTTTAAGTTACGCTTATAGATAAAGTCAAACCTTATAGAAATCCAACGTATAGAAACCGCTACGTATAGCAACAAGGCGTATTTTCCGGGAGAACATTTTTTATATTTTTGAGAAATTAAATAATCAGTGTAAATTAGATATAATTTTCTTAAAATCCTTTTATTTAAATGGTAAAATGGAATTTTATGAAATCATATTAGCATTACTAGAGAACTTTTTGTTATACTTTAAAATTTTTTTTTTATAAAAATAAAACTGTAGCATTTTTATGAAATATTTTTTTAATAGTAACATGCAATTTTATGTATAACCATATAATCATTTATTTATGTTGTCAG